AAAAGGACTGAAGCTGACTCGTGACCCCCTCCAAAGTTTCTCTTCTCGTCCCTACAAAAGGGCCTCTTGACTTCGAGAGCACAACCTTCATTGTTTCCAAGGAGACCTCAAGTTCTCTAGGAATCTCCAATACACCAGCCTTTTTAATAGGCCCAACAGCTACCTTGTTCTTTACCTCAGGCCAGTAATTATCAAGGTTGAGTCAGAGATGAATTAAGACTAACATGGCCAAAGTCACCTGTAAACATTGGCCCTTGGGTGCCCTTGGATGCCTGTGTCACATCTCTAAAGTGACTAGAAGGACCAATTGAAATAATAAAGCGTTAACAAGAAAACCTTTTGATCCTATTCTTAGGCTATGTCTACACTGGCAATTGAACGACAAACATTTGTCTTTCAGAGGTGTTAAAAAACCTTGAAAGACAAAAAAGTTTTGGTGACAACAAGCACCAGTGTGAACAGTGCTCTCCAGCTGACAATGCAAATGCTGCTCATTGGGGGGGTGGACATTTTTTTGTCAGCAGGAGAGCCGACAAACAGCGGCTACACTGCGCAACTTTTAGTGACACAGCTGTAGCGACACAGCCAGGTCACTAAAAGCTGTGTAGTGTAGACCTAGCCTTTAGTTACTCCACCTCTGCAAGAGGCAGTAGCTATGTCAGTGGGAGAAGCTCTCCTCCCAACAAAGTGCTGTCTACACTAGTGCTTAGGTTGGTATAACTGCAGTGGTTTTCAAAACATTTTTTTCTGGCGACCCAGTTGAAGAAAATTGTTGATTCCTTTGGCCCAACAGAGCTGGGGATGAGAGGTTTGGGTTGTGGGAGAGGCTCAGGGCTGGGGAAGAGCGTTGGGGTGCAGGGGTGAGGGCTGTGGTGTGGGAATGAGGGGTTCAGGGTGTGGGAGGGGGCTTTGAGCTGGGGCAGGGGGTTGGGATGCAGGAGGGGGTCAGGGCTCTGGGCTGGGGGTGCAAGTTTTGGGCTGGGGATGAGGGATTTGGGATGCAGGAGGGGGCTCTGGGTTGTGGGGGGGGGCTCAGGGCTGGGGCAAGGGATTGGGGCACGGGCTTACCTTGGGTGGTCCTGGTCAGCAGCACAGCAGGGGTGTAGAGACAGGCTTCCTGCCTGTCCTGACACCATGGACCGTGCTGCACCCCAGAAGTAGCCAGCAGTAGGTCCGGCTCCTAGGTGGATGTATGTAAGCAGCTCCGCACAGCTCTTGCCCACAGGCATCGCCACCCCCAGCCAATGGGAGTGTGGAGCCAGTGCTCGGTATGGGAGCAGCATGCAGAGCCCAGTGGTCCCCCCGCCTAGGAGCTGGACCTGTTGCTGGCCGCTTCCGGAGCGCAGCGCGGTGTCAGAACAGGTAAGGACTAGCCTGCCTTATCCGGGCAGCACTGCTGACAGGGCTTTTAATGGCCTGGTCAGCGGTACTGACCAGAGCCACTGCGACCCAGTGCCTTACATTCTGCGTCTCAGTACTGGGTTGCAACCCGCAGTTTGAAAACCACTGAACTACAGCACACCCCTGCATGGTGATGTGACACTGAAGTAATTCTGTAGTGTAGACAAGGGCATAGAAACTGGGACTATACTCCAGTGAAAAGGAAGGTTTCAGAGTAGCAGCCGTGTTAGGCTGTATCCACAAAAAGAACAGGAGGACTTGTGGCACTTTAGAGACTAACAAATTTAATAGAGCATAAGCTTTCGTGAACTACAGTTCACTTCATTGGATGCATAGAATGGAACATATAGTAAGAAGGTATATACATGCAGAGAAGGTGGAAGTTGCCATACAAACGGTAAGAGGCTAATTAATTAAGATGAGCCATTATCAGCAGGAGAAAAAAATTTTGTAGTGATAATCAAGATGGCCCATTTAGACAGTTGACAAGAAGGTGTGAGGACACTTAACATGGGGAAATAGATTCAATATGTGTAATGACCCAGCCACTCCCAGTCTCTATTCAAACCCAAGTTAATCGTATCTAGTTTGCATATTAATTCAGGCTTGTTGGAGTCTGTTTTTGAAGCTTTTCTGTTGCAGAATTGCCACCCTTAAGTCTTTTTCTCAGTGGCCAGAGAGGTTGAAGTGTTCTCCTACTGGTTTTTGAATGTTATGATTCCTGATGTCAGATTTGTGTCCATTTATTCTTTTGCATAGAGACTGTCCAGTTTGGCCAATGTCCATGGCAGAGGGGCAGTTTCTATGCCCTTGTCTACACTACAGAATTACTTCAGTGTAACATCACCATGCAGGATGGTTCAAGCAAAGCAACTTGTCTGTAGTGCAGTGCAAGTTAGTCAGGATATCACCTGCCAGCTGACAAATGCCAGACTCTCCCTGCAACTCTCCCAGCAAGTGAGCTGCCCATCTCCAAACTGCTGACCCTTTAATCACTACCCAGTCAGGTGTTCTGCCCTCTACCCTACCCATTGACATAGTTACTCCAGCCCCTGTGAGCAAGGGCAGTGGGAGAAAGCTCTCCCATCAGCCTAGAGCATCTGCATCTTACTGCTGTGGTAAGCTCTGTAGTGTAGCCCTAGCCCCAGCCACCAATGCAAACACTCCTGCAATTCTCCCTAGCACGTTCATTAACATCCTCCCAGGAGCAGTGGAAGCTCCCTACAAGTGTGTGTGTGTGTGTGGGGGGGGCATCAGTGACTAAACCGTGGCCTCCGCCCCCATGCTGCCCCTTCCCCTGCTTGTTCCTCTATGCTCTCTCCCCCATTGCTCATCCTTATGGCCAGTAATATGATGTAAAAAAAGTGATGGGGCCATGGCCCCAAGCCTCCCATTTCTACCACCCCTTTCCCCACTGCCTCGTTTCTCTACTTCTCCCTTGAGAACTCCCTTGAGTTTCTCCACCTCTCCCTGACCCTTCTCAAGTGCCAACCCCGCTCAGCAGTCCAACCTCTCCCTGCCACAGACATCTGACTCCCATCCAGTTTACAGAGGGTGAGGCACCTGGAAGATGTTCTAAGGCTGATGTCCTAGTCCTAAACTTTAGGTGCCTAGAGTAACTGGTGCTAAGCAGAGTGTGAAATGTCTGAAGTAAGGTGTTATATTTGCCAGATTGACTCCTCCTCCCATCCCCCAGGTTATGCAACATTCTGCTTTGCTACAACGTATTTCACTTGCCAGAAATAATCCAGCCTTAACTTTCTATTAGCCACCCATCAACTACCTTCTGAATACTCATCTGATAGAATTCTAAAGCTGCTGGAGGACTTTAGGCATCACTCTCTGCATTTCTAGGGTTAATGTCTGGGTGTGAGAACCTGTCTCACTGCTGTGTTCCTTCTTCTGCAACAGTAATAAGTGTCTTAACTCAGACAACCTGCCTTAATTGTTAGACTATCTGAAGCCTTCACTGATGATCACTCTTGTACTGCCTGCAACAATGCTATGTTTATTCAAAAAGGATTTTCTCTTTGATCATACTTACCTTTGTGTATTAATTTATTGGTACTGTATATGCTAAAGTACAAAATCGTTGTTGGCCAAGTAATCACCTTCATAACAGGGGTGTTTTGGCTCACACTTAGTTGTTCATTTTAACTGCAATACCGTACTACAGGGCACAGGGTTCTGCCCACAATTTTTATCTCACTTCACACAAGACAATGACACAGAGCATATAAAAGTCAAGTAATTTGAGAGGGAGGCAGTCAATTTGTTCATTATTTCACTGCCAGGACATCACATCAAGGATCACAGAATATTTTGGAACCTTTTGGCATTCAGCTTTTGGGAGCCACAGGAATCAGGATGTAGGAATCCTGAGTCTTTGTTTCAGAAATATTCCTTTGAAAGTGTCCAAGCCAGCTGTAAGGTGTTCTACAAGAAAATTGAGTTTTTCTTTTTGCTCAGCACAGCAGGTCTGCTGACCAGCTTGCAGCCTCAGAAACTGCTACTGAGTTTAGGGAAGGCAGATGGTCTCCCAGTCACTGTGCAGCAAGCACACTTTGCTCTCCAGCATATCTCTCTCTCAACAGATTCAGCTGGAATCAGGGTTTCTGGGAACTCAGGACTAAGCTAAAGCCAGTCTGCAGCTGCCAAGATGACTAGCAATAATTTAAAACTTTCCTGATTAGCAGCCTGTGCAACCTTAATGAAGTCAGAGTTGTATGGGGCAGAATTTGTCAACAAAACATATATAGGTGGGCGGAACGCTGTTTCCACTGAATGCATCTGATGAAGTGAGCTGTAGCTCACGAAAGCTCATGCTCAAATAAATTGGTTAGTCTCTAAGGTGCCACAAGTACTCCTTTTCTTTTTGTGAATACAGACTAACACGGCTGCTACTCTGACACCTATCTCAAAGTGTCTGTGCACTCTATATCTTATAACAATACAGCACTGAACTACTGTAAGACAAATGCCAGCTCAACCAGCCTGCCCTATGAAGTTTCAGTTAAATATGCCTGTATCATGGTGTGTAGTTAGCTATCAACCCAGATAATAAATTAATCTTTGTAAAGCACTGAGGATATAAAATGCTGTATCAATGCTAGGGATTATTCAGTAGTCCTAAAGAGAAACGATTACTTGGGGTAGGAATTATCCACAGCTTTAGTTAGCATTTCAATCACTGGTTGCTTGCTGTAAAATACTGAGCTGGGAATATTTGGAAGTTAGCAAGAAAGAGTCCAAACTTTGCTATAATATTTGTAGTCCTTCCCGCTTTCAGGATGTGAAAGCACCATTGTTAACTGGAGGTTTTAAATTCTTCACAGTAAATTGAATGAGAGGACCACAGAAGAGGTTCGTAGATTGGCCACACTTTGCCTGAACTGCTAACAATCTTAAATTTAAAGAACCCTCCAGGATGCCAGCAGAAAGGCATTGTAAGGCAAGTGCCTAAGCCAGCAGTGCCTCTGAAAGGAAAGTATCAACTTTTAACAGTCCTCCTGGATCTTTGTGCTCAGAACAAAGTCTGGCAGCCTGCTCCGAGCAATAAGTGTGTTGATAAAAAGGAAAAGTAGAGGATAGATACTTACTTTTTTGGGGTCAGCGTAGGTGCCAAGTCCAATCACTGGGATGCTGTTCCCATCGCTCAGAGGTATGCGGTGGTTTGCAGCCGTTAGATTCATGATGCGGATGATAAAACACTTGACTGCAACTTTCTAACAGACTGAATGAAAGCACCAAGAGCCCACTTTGTGTGTGGCGCGCGCCCCGGGCTATGGCACTAGAGGGCGCGCGCGAGAGAACGAAAACTTCGGCTGCTCAGCCTGCCCTGGGCCAGCAGCACGCGTGCGATCCTCTAAGAACAGCCTGGGGTAGCGTTTCCAACTTCGTCATGGGACATGACTGACAGGCCAGGCTAGGGTTGCCCTTCCATTCTCCTGAAAGCAAATTTGCAGCAGGGTGAAATATTAACTGCCCGCTCTCGTTAGGCACGGGGGAGCGACTCAGCGCAGGAGAGAGCGGAGGGATGGTCCCCGTTCAACCAGCTTCATCAAAAGCACGCGAGTTTTCTTTTCCGGGTGGCTTTAAGTACCTGCTAAAAGCAAGGGTGTGCTAGGAGCGCAGGAGGAGAGAGAGGAGGCTGAAAGGGGGTTGTGGTTTTCGGGGAGGAGGGGGGGGGGGTCTGCGTGTGGCTTATGCTTGCAGCGGGCTTCCACTGCCAGACAAGGTTGGTCTGTTTGCTGACTCCTCCAATCACTTCAGGGCTCATCGCAGGAGGAAATACGGGTTTTTGGAACAAGACATGGTTCCTGTCAAACCAGGAGATACCCATCAGCCTTTAGCTCAATCTTCACCTCCCCAGCGGCTCGTGTGTGCCAAACCATTGAATGCAGTAGCTACACCTGGGTCAGCAACCTGTCAGAAGTGGTGTGCCAAGTCTTCATTTATTCACTCTAGTTTAAGGGTTCGCGTGCCAGTAATACATTTTAATGTTTTTAGAAGGTCTCTTTCTATAAGTCTGTAATATAGAACTAAACTATTGTTGTATGTAAAGTAAATAAGGTTTTTAAAATGTTTAAGAAGCTTCATTTAAAATCAAATTAAAATGCAGAGCCCCCCCCTCCCCTCCATCCCGGACCGGTGGCCAGGCCCCGCACCGTGTGAGTGCCACTGAAAATCAACTCGTGTGCCGCCTTTGGCACGCGTGCCCCTGAGCTACACTATCCTGGATTCGCCTTCAGTCGCATCTGCTCTCCCTCGCATTGATTTGTTCACTGTTCCTATTGCCCCTCTAAGCATGCGGGTTCCGATTATGCTAGTCCTTTCACTTTCAGGACGATGGCCCATTATTTTATTAATGGAAGACTTGTTTTAAACCCCTTGTTTACATCAGTCCATTCCTTTACTTTCAGGAGAGGAAATCCAGTACCCATCCCCTGGTTGTCATTGTTTGCCTCTAGATCAGACTTGGCTAATTCATTCCCCTGCCCAAAGTCAGAGGTTGTCTTTTTTGGGGGGAAAGGGTGCTTTTCAGTCTTTACATTATTTACAAATCGGATGATTTAGTTGGGGATTGGTCCTGCTTTGAGCAGGGGTTGGACTAGATGACCTCCTGAGGTCCCTTCCAACCCTGAGATTCGATGATTCTATGATTCTTCTTCCAGTAATGAAAGGACAACTCCAAACCCATGTGAAAGACTCACAAGAGCAACATTCAATTTAGCATTTCAGTCAATGGCACCAGTTGTTCATTGCTTTTTATATTAGTAGTAGAGATTATCCCTTTGATTATTAATACCCCAGTTACTAGCATGAAGCCCCAGTTATTCCCATCACTTCTGTCTGTGCTAAACTTGTATTTGTAAACAGGTACATTGAATTTCCTTTCCTATTAATGCTGTTCAGAAACTGACATTTAGAGTTCACTTCTTCAGCTGTTGCCTGTGCCCACTGTTGAAGTCAATTGGAATTACATGTGCATCAAAACACTCAGGAGATCCCTTGGCCAATTTAGTTTCCATTTCAAATGTATTCAGCATGTGCCTTTTTCTGTACCTAATCTTCATACGGCCCTTTTGTCCTCCCCCATCCAGGCATAAAAATCTTTCTCCTGGTTAGTCTCATTTAAGCACCTTTTCACAGTTCTGTCCCAGCATCAAGCAAAAAAGTGTTAGGGACTCATTCAGTTGCAATCCACCTGTCTATACATTAAATACAAAAGGACAAGGGCCCTGGGGCCAGGATGGAAATAAGGTTCAGTCTCTCTTCTCAGCACAGAAGTGTGTTACACCCTCCTCACCAGACATTGTAGCACAGATTATTTTATTTTTTAATTAGGCCTTTAAATCCATAGTTAGCTGTCTAAAGGGCCCCAGTTTTTCAGAAGGGGGAAACAGCATCCAACCTCTTCCACTGACTTCAGTAAGAGCTGCTGGATATTTTAGGAAAGGGGGAGAGGAGAAGAGAAACAAGCCAACTTATTTATGTGGCTAAACACAGATTTGAGAGCTTAATGTTAGGCACTCTAGGTGCTTGAGTTAGTATATTGCAATCACAAATGACTGCAGCCCTCCACCCCCAAATAGCTTTAGAGGCATGAAATAAGGAAAAATGCTACTATACTAATGCATTTTGATAGCAATGGAGAAAGTTTAGAGCACAGGGAATTGATGAATGGTCCATTCACTGTGGGCAGAAGTCCTAACTTCTCTAACTTTATCCCATTATGATTTACTTCATTTATTTATTCTGAATTTTAAAATCCCTCACATAAATAGTTCCTGCTCTGTTACAGTAAGCTATCCCACATACCAATGATGTCCCCGAGGGGACAGTCCCTTTCTGAAATCCAATTTAAGTCTCTCCTTTTCTAATCTCACACCTAGGTTATGCCCTTATCCCACAGTGTAAATAGATTTCCCAGCTCCATTTGTGCTTCATCTAGTTATTTTCTATCCTATAATTAAGGTCTTGACATTTTCGCTCCGCTTTTAAATCTACACATGTAGAAACATTTTATGGGTCTTGCCTTATATCCAATTGAAATGGAGACTCAGCAGAATTGTTTCTCAACCCCCAACGTTGTGGTGTAGGTTATTTCACTGTTATACATCCTAATACCCCACTTCCTTGCTTTGTAGCAGGTGTGCAATTTGAAGAGGCATGTATGAGTGTCACTGGCTGAACCTATTTAGGAGTGCACCGGGGGGGGGGGGGGGGAGGAGAGAAGAATGGCACTGTCAAATATGGTATTGTCTGTTTCCAAATCACAGACAGCTCTGATCCATAAGCATTCAAGACCATTTGTATCAGTGTCCTAGCTCAGGCATTCCTAATCATTATTGGTCTATGTACCTCCCACCTTCTTAAAGGATTGATATTTGAAGTACCACATGCAAACTTCTTTTTGTGCACATTTCTCTCAGGTCCTTACAGGCCTAATTTACATCTTTCCAGACTACATAGTGTAGCTATATGCGTTGTGGCTGCAGGTTTGGAGCCACTCGCGACTAGCTATGTATGCATGCATCATGGAGCTTGTGGAGCAGAACCTGGAACTTCACAAGTTCACCTCAGTAGGCTGTCAGGTCTGAAACAGGAGTTGCTTGTAATGAACAGTGATCCCGCTGCCATTTGGCACCAACGGGCTTCTGTGTCACAGCAAAATAATGCTACAGCTGATGTGAGATGCAAAGGATTAAAGGCAGGGAATATAATCAGTGCCAATCAACATGTGTTTATGGGAAACCGCTCTTATCAAACTAATCATCATTTGATGAGATTACAAGTTGGTCAATAAAGATAGTTTGTGTATACTTAGAGTTGTGAGAGACATTGGACTTGGTACTGTACAGCACCTTAAGGCACGACACAAAAACTCCAACATTATGTGGATTAAAAACGGGTTTCATAATGTATTTATAAGAGGGAGAATCAACCAGCACCTACGTTTCCAGTGGGGTCTCACATGTAGGGCCAAGGACATGATTTGTCTTTTTTTTTTTTTTTAAATGACTTGGAAAACACGAAATTACTGAAGTTTGCAGGTAACTCGGGGAGTGGTAAATAATGAAAAGGCCAGGTTACTGATACAGAGCAATCTGGATCACTTGGTAAAGTGGGCCCAGGCAACAATATTTATTTCAATATGGCCAAGTAGAAGGTCATACACATAGGAACAAAGACTATAGGTCACATTTACAGGATGTGGGGACTTCTCTGGAAAGCAGTGACTCTGAAAGAGACTTGGGCATCATGGGGGAGAGTCAGCAAAACATGAGCTCCCAGGGCAATGCTGTGACCAAAAGGGCTAATGTGATCCTTGGATGTATGAACAGGGGCATAGGTACCGACTCCGTGGGTGCTCCACACCCACCAGCAGCCAAGCTTCCCCATCCTTTGCCCCCCCCAGGATGCCCCATCCCCACTCCTCCCCCTCCCTCTCAGCATTTCACACCACCCACCCCCTAACAACTGTTTGGCGGCACTTAGGACTTTCCAGGAGGAAGGGGGAGGAGTGGGGACGGGCCACGCTTAGGGGAGGAGGCAGAGAAGAGGTGGGGTGGGGACTTGCAGGAAGGGGGCGGGGCAGGAAGGGGCGGGGCCAGGGCGTCAAGCACCCACCAGGCAGAGGGGCAGTCTGTGCCTATGAACAGAGGAGTCCTAAATAGAAGTAAAGAGGTTATATTGCCTCTTTATTTGGCACTAGTGCAACTGTTGCTAGAATACAGTGACCAGTTCTGGTAACCACACTTGAACAAGGATGTTGATAAGTTGGAGAGGGTTCATAGAAGAGCCTCAAAGAATTATTAAAAGATTGGAAAACATGCCTTATAGTAAGAGACTCAAAGAGCTGAATCTATTGTGATCATGTCAGTCCTAAGTACCTACACGAGGAACACAGATTTCATAAGAGGGCTTTTCAGTCTAGCAGACAAAGGTATAACAAGATCAAATGGCTCGAAGTTAAACTGTAGACAAATTCAAGCTAGAAATAAGGCATACTTTAACAGGGAGGGTAATTAACCATCAGAATAATATGTCAAGTGTGGTGGTGGATTCTCCATCCCTGGCAATTCTTAAATCAAGATTGGATGTTTTTGTAAGATAGGCACTCATTCAAAACGTGGCCATAGGATTTGAAGCAGGAATACATACAGAGAAGTCCTATGGCCTGTGTTATGCAGAAGGTAAGACTAGACTATCACAATGGTCCCTTCTGGCCTTAAAAATATATGGAGATAAATCAGAGTTACCTTTGTAGAATTCTTGAGAATCACTAGAGCCATGCTAATTTGGACTTGGGGGAGGGACAGAGAATGCTCATGAAGAATATCCTGCTAGCATCCACCTTTTGTATCAAGGAGGATCCAGATTGGCCATCTCTGCTGAGCTTCTCTGTAGTAGTAGTAGGAGATACTACCTGCAGAGGCAGCCATTCAGGCCTTTGTAGGTCAGAACACATCTTGAATTCTACCCAGAAGCAAGTAGGCAGCCAGGGCAGATCTCAAACCAGAACTTGTGTCCTTGTGGTGAAATACTCATCCTGACAAGTGGGCCACTGACTTCTGACCTTCTAAATGGATTTGTGGTGTAGCCCTAGGTAGAATGCACTGCAGAAGTCCAATGTAGAGCTGA